CACCTGACAGCTGGCATCCATCTATTCAGTGAAGATTGTTGGGCACTGTGGATACTGTGAAGGAGGCAGCAGTAGCAGCTGGCCTGCAGAGTGAGGTGCAGTGCCAGAGGGCTTCAGGAGGAGGTGGCATTGTGATCGATGTCTGAAGAATGCCTCAGGCCATGACAATGGAGCCAGTGCAAAGTCCCAAAGATCAGGAAGGAGCAAGAGGAAAGGATAGTTCATATCCAGGCACACCCCTCCAGAAAAAAAAAAAAAGAGGAAAGGACGGGCGCCAGCAAGGTAGGACAACGGGGGCCTCTAGAATGTTTTCTTCCCAGTAGGGGAGGGGTGTGCTGAGATTTACATGCTGAGTGCCTGGGCTGCAATAGGGAAATAGCAGAGGGGCTGGGACCTGTGACTGGGAGTCTCCAGGTGAGAGGATTGGCCCGTGGGGACTGGGGGTCAGGTGAGGCTGGGAGTGAGGTGTAGAGGTGGGAGCAACTGGACAGGACCAGTGAGGATGCAGGGGCGGCTGCCCCGGGCTAGACTCTGGCTGCTCTGGCGGTTGGAGGTCTGGGGAGGCAGCTGCTTAGCTCAGGCTTGGGCACGTCCACCCGGCATGTCTGAAACATTAGCCAGCAGGGGCGCAGACTCGTCAGCGAGAGCATTCCTGAGCCCAGCATCCAAGAGGCAAAGGAAGTCGGGAAGGTGCTGCTAAGAGGTGGGGGAGGTCCCCAAAAGTCCAGGTGAGAGCATGGCGTGCGTGGAAAGTGCTGGGCAGTTTTGGCATCAGTGAAGTCACGGGGGGCTGTGTGTGAACAGGTGGGGTTGGGCGTCACCAGGGAGCCTTTAGACAGGAGCGGGTTGGCTCTCCTGGAGATCAGGCCATGGCTTGGTGTCGGGACTGGGGCATGGACAGTCTTCCTCCACCCCCAACCTCTCCTTGGAGCTTTGAGACACTGCAGATAATTAGCAGGTGATGTGATAAATACTACCTGTGGAGGGTGCCTTGGGCAGGGAAGACAGCTGTGCTCTGTCCTGCTCTGAGGTGCTCATCAGGAAAGGAGAGAAACTACTACAGGCCCAGTGTTGGAGCCTGGCCAGACCCTGTGAGGCCTCGAAAGTAGCCTACCAAGGGAAGGGAAAGCCTACCAAGATACCCACGCTTTCAGTGGCTGGGGTTGAGTTTGAACCCAGGGACTCTAGGGCCCATGCCTCTGCCATCCTGCCTCTGGGTTTGATAGTTGGACTTGGTCCATCAAGTGCCAGGCCAGCCCTGCTGCTGGGTGCTCCCAGGCATGCACAAGCTGACAGTTCTGAAGGGCCCACGCATTTGGCCATGCTCCAGCCTGTGTCCTCACATCAAAGGTAGGTGCTGGAATAGCAAATGCTGCAGATGGCACGGGGGGTGTTGGCCAGGCTCTGGGGGCACAGGAGCTCTGTCCATGCCCACAGTTGGCCTGTGCTGACCTCCGTCCATCACAACTGAGTGACACCAGCTCTTTCATTGAGCTGAAGTCTTCCTTCCATCCCTTCAGTGGGTCTTTGTGGCTCAGAGAGGCTGTGGCCAGGTACAGGATCTGGGGTGGCCCCTGCTTCTCTGCTCTGTGGCCTTAGACAGTGGGCAGGATCTGAGGCCAGGCCCACCTGCAGCAGGTGTTACAAAGAGGCAAATTGGGGCTTAATGTTGGGAAGAACTTGCCAACCAACTATAGTCCCGTTGTCTTTGGAGGTAGTGAGCTCCCCATTGGGGAAGGTATGTAAGCCAACCTTTCTGGGATGCTGGAAGATCAGAGATCAAACACTTGAGATTCTGTGATCCTAATATTGCCTCAAATGCTATGCTGCTTGGATTTGAAGTCAGTTTCATTTAGCCAGTTTACCAAGTGTCTGCTTGGTGCAGGACACCAGGGAACACAAAATGTCCTGGATAATACTGGGTTTCTGGCTCCCAGGGTTCCCTCAGATGTTGTTCCAGTGGTTCTGGAATATGGGCCAGGCATGGCTTGCATCTGGACCCATCAGCATTGCTCGCTCAATGTGAGCTTCATGACTGCAGTTTGGCATGTCACGGCCCCATGCGCCCCCCTACCCCGCCCCGCCATGGCCCTCACCATGGCCCACTCAGGGCACAAGGCTTTCTGGGTGATTCCTGGTACTCAGTGTGGTCAGCTTCCTGGACCTGACAGCGGGGTGGGGCTGCAATGAGACGCCAGTTGCAGAAAGTGGTTTGCACAGCCTTCCTGGTGTCGTGGGTCACTGTCTTGCCAAGTGGCTTTGGGCAGGTCCCTTCCCCTCTCAGGCCGCAAGTTCCTATGCCAGGAGCTTGTTTTCTCAGATACAGAGGTGGGGCAGATCCCAGCCCGTTGAAACAGACAGGGCTTTGGAGACCATGGTGGGCCCATTTCTCAGAGGGGCCTTGTGGCTGGATGTTGAGCCAGGCACTGGACTGGCCCCTTGCGCCTCCTGTCAGGCTGAGGCCCCCGAGGCAGTGTGGGCTGCTGGTGCCAGCACACAGGGGTGATAAGGAGATGAAAGTCACTAGGATGGTGGGGCGGCACCCGTCCCGGGCTGTGTTGGCAGCTGCCCCTGGCTGGAGTCCAGCTTGGCCCTGGAACACTCCTCAAGGAACAAGGACACAGAGAGCCAGCTCAGCCAGCCTCCACCTAGCGCCCCAATCAGCACTCCCTTCTTCCCATGACCCCTGCCCTTTGCCCGGCTCCTGGAACTGGTCAAGGAGCTAATGGACACCCACTAGGGTCTTAATGAGTGAGCCAGGGTTAATGGTTACTGGGCCTGGTGACACATTCACCAGCCTCCCAGGGATCTCAAAGTCCAGACTGCCCTGGCCTGAAGGTCTTAGCTCGGCCACCTCCTTTTCCAGCCTTGACACCTCGGGGCTCAGGAAGAGCCTAGGGTGGTCAAGAGGTCCCCTGAAGCCCTCACTTCCTGGAAAAGGCTCCATTTCCTGGCCTTCAGGGTCAGGTGGTTCCTTCTGCCTGGCAGATCCTCCCCAAATCCAGTCCCAGCTTGGGCTGGATTCCCAAGGCCCCTATTCTGGTTGGTGTCTGCCCCTCCCCTACGGCTCTTCCCCCTGGGGTGACCATACTGTCTCATGCCCAGCCAGGTTGGGGCATGAGACCTGGAGAGAAGAATCTGGAGGGGCCAAGATTTGATGGGAGAATGAATGATGGAATGAAAGAAGGAATTTAAGCATGTGCCTTGCTAAGAGTGACAATTCTGGCAGGCTGAAGACCATGTGTGGACCTCAGTCTGAGGGCTGAGAGGCTTGGGCCTGCCAGCCCTGTGGGGGCACCCACACCATCTTATCTCATTGAGTGGGGCAGAGCAGGTGAGGGCATGATGGACAAATGGGCCTCATCCCCCTGCTTCTACTGTCTGGGGTCCTCTGTCAGCCTGTCTGCTCAGAACCCTGAAACTGGGGGTTGAGGAAGGACCTTCCTGGATCATGTGACTCCCTTCAGCCCAGGTGACCAGGGTCCTTGGAGTGACAGCTCCTAGAACCCTGCCTGTAGCCCTGCAAGTTGGGGAGAGGGCCTGTTAGGAGAGGCATCCCTGCCCTGGGTTTGTAGAGGTGATCTAGGCTCCTCAGACCTTGTGGGGCCTCAGATGCTTACATCTCCAGCCTCTCCTGGTGTGGGCATCTGGCTGCACCCCAGCTCTGTGGCCTCATCTCCTAGGGAACCTTTGGTCTAATCTGTCTCCCGCTGAAACCCGGCCTCATTCAGCCCCACCAAGGCCTTCAGAGCTCAGGTCTCTCATTCAGGGTTTGAGGCCCCGCCAGACTCAGACCTGCAGCCGTCCCAGATCACACAGCCCCAGGGATGGGACCAGGAGCCAGCAAGTGTCCCACCTGGAGCAGTTCCTGTGCCTTTAAAGCCTTCCCTCCCCCCACCCTGCCCCACCCACCCCTGGGCCACTAGGGGAGGGAAGGAGGAGCTGGGTCACAGCAGGGAATCTTACCTTGGTTTGCTGGATGACCAGACCAGGAGTCGGGTGAGCCAGGAAGTGAGGGCAGCTGGCTGTGCCCCAGTGCTGTGTGACCCAGAGGCGCCACTCACCCTCTCTGAACTGGTGAACATCATAGGTGGGGAAGCTCAGGCCAGGGCACTCCCAGGAGTGTCTGGAGGCCTGAGTTCCATTCTCAGCTGTGCCATATGCTTGCTGCGCTCTAGAGGAGCTCCTCTTCCTCTCCGAGCCTCGGTTTATGCGCCTGTGCGGTGGGAGTGAGTTGCACTTCAGGGTGAAGGGGGTGAGACTGGTGTGGGCGCACCCTGCAGAAGGATCCCACAGGTGGGCAGAGCCCTGGGTTTTTTATCCGACTGAGTCTGGGCTGGGGGGGGGCCTCCGTTTCTTGACTGATGAGTGGGTTTGAGTGAGGTATGCGGGTGGGTGAAGGAGGGCTGGGGGGAGTCACCTGACTTAGGCAAAGAAGCCCTTGAGACAGCTGTGGCTTCTTGGAATTAAGAGGGAAGAGTGCAGCATGGAGAAACTGAGGCCCGGGAGGATTTGGCAGCCCTGAGTGGGGGTGGGGGGATCAGCTCTGGAGTAGAGCCAGAGCTATGATGGGGTTGGGGGACCCTGTGTCCTTGGGCCATGCTTGTCCCACTCCTGGGCTCTGTCTGTGGCTGTGGATTGGGGTGGGACAGGGCTGGTTGTGCGAGGGGTCATTGCCCAATTCCAGAGGGTGCCTGCCACCTCTCAGCTCTATATAGGGATACATATAGTTCTTTCAACAGGTTTCCAGCAGGTTGTGGTTATTAAATCTTACTGAAGGGGTGTTTTTTCTAATTGTCAACTCTGCGCCGCAAGGGTGGAAACTGTGAGAGACTGATTCCAACTCCAGGTCTGGGTGGTAAGCATCCGGTCCAGGGGTGTAGACAGGCCTGGGGAAGCCTCAGACATCTGTGCGTTCTCATACCCAGGGCTAGTGACTCCATGCTGGGGGCTGTCAGTGTAAGGGGTGGGTGGGTCCTGGGCTTACCTGCAGTTCTGCAGACCTCCTGGGGCCAGCTGACCTCGGTAAATCCCTTTTGTCTAAGCTTCAGTTTCCTGCCTGTGAATGGGGTTGAGGCTGTGCTCCAGTTTCACCCTTGTGGCTCTGGGGTTGTGGTGACAAAGCCATCAAGCTGGGTTGGAGACTGGCTGCTGTGTCTACCTCTTCCTCATACTCCTCTCTCTGCTGCATCCTGGGAAGCTGCTCAGCTCAGCCTAGATTAGGCTCAGTTGTGTCTGTGTGTGCACGTGATTGCACGTGTGTTGGAAGTGTGTGGTACTGACACCAGAGTCAGTGTCTCTGGGTGAGTGAGGCTTGCACATTTCTGGGGACAGGGAACTCACTACCTTATGTGCCCAGAACAAGAGCTGTGGGGTCTGGAGAAGAATTCTAGGCCAGCCCCTGCAGTCTTTCCTCAGGTGACATGGCTTCCCCAGACCCACTTCCCTGGAGGTGCCCTGTCTGCATTCAAGGGGTAGAAGGCTGACTGGGACAGAATGTGACACACTCAGCATGTGAGGAAAAGCTTCCTTCATTCTGTAGGCCCTACCTCTGTTGACATGACCTTTGATAAATTGCCTCCCTTCCTGTCTCCCCTCTCTGGAACCCTCAGCTGCTTCCACGCTTCAGCTGTGCCCCATCACAGGCAGCTCTCTGTCTCCCTACTTTCCCCAGCCCAGGGTTTTCCTTTTGGGGTCAGCTACAGGGGTCTGGACCATCCTTTGCCCACTCAGACATTCTTCCTGCCCACCTGCTGCTGAGAATCCTGCATGTCTCATATGCTCTCAGGCAGAGAGGAAACTGCTGAGCAGGCCAGGGCAGGGGACGGAGCCCTGTGACTCTCCACTTTAGACCCCTCCCAGCTGACTGCTGTGGAATGCAGCCACTTAGCAGAGCCAAATCCCCTGAGGTTCCTGTCTGCTAGACAGCAGGACAGGTCATGGGGCCTTGGTTCCTGCCCCATCATCTTCCCAGTCACCCTGATCTTCAGGGGGAGGAACAGCCAGGGAAAGGGTTTGGTCATAGCACCTCCACCCTAGGGCTATTGAGGATCTCACAGTTGTGTGTCTGGTGGGTTCTGTCCAGAGCCCATTTGAGAGCAGTGGGTGACAGGACAGGCCTATGTGACCCAGGCAGGCAGCAATATTGGGTCAGCCTTCGTGTCCCCTTCTGTCAGCTGGGGCAGCCTGGAAGGATGATTGTGGGGTAGGTGTTATGGGAATAGACCTCAGGTGGAGGCTGCAGGGGCTCTCTGGCACTGTAGGCACAGCAGGCCCAGGAGCAGGGGAGGCAGCCATGACTCGTGGAGCCTCTGGCCCATATCCTTGGCAGATGAGGGCCACAGGGGAATGGGCAGCAGTGTCTAAGGTCCCCTGGGCTGGGCCCATGGCTGTTCCTGGCTCAGACTTCTTAGTGGGCTGGTCAGAAACATGCAGTAGCTTGGGGCAGTTACCAAGTGGCCAAGCCTGCGCTGTTGGGCTGTGTGAGCTTGGGCCAGCTCAGGCCCTCTCTGGGCCCTGCCTTTCTGGGCTGTTCAGGTGGTTCCTTGGGCCTGGAGTGCTAATATTTCTGGATGGGCAGCAGAACCGGTCTACACTCAGGGCCCCAGGCCATGTTCCCGGAACACACCTTTAGCATTGACATCAGAGTGTGGTGAGGCCCCTTAGGCTGGGTTCTGGTCTGGTGCCAGGGGCACCACTACTCCACTGCCTCCAGAGCCATCTCTGGGACACTGGCTGTGAGTTCAGATGTTCTGAACAGGGACAGGGAAAGCCAGAGGAGGACCCAGCCTGGGGCTAGCTGGAGGGGCTCGTGGGGAGACAGCGCCCTTTGGAGGGAACTGAGTCTGGAAGGAAACCCTTTCCCCGGGTCACAGCACCTGGCACCCAGGGCCCTCCCAGGGCTGCGTGAACTTTAGTCACATGGTGACAGGCCGAGTCACCGTGCCAAGTCACTGTGCGCCTCCTTGCTGCTGTGACGTCAGCTTCCCCATCCTCCCAGCCAGGCTGGACCTCTGTGAGAGGCCTGCCTGTCCTGCACCCTGTGCAGATGCCTCCCACTGTCTGCTGGGGCTGATGGGCACCTCCTGGCTGGTCTCTTGTACTAGGTAAGCTCATGGGTCCTCCGGCTGCTCCTGCTCCTTCCCTGCCTCTGCTCCTCCTCGGAGGTGGCCACCCCCAGATCCCAGTCCCAATTCAGAGGCCCCCTGAGGAGCACTGCAGGGGGCCGCAGGCGTGGCTCTGAGCCGCTCTAGAGAGTGAGGGAGCCCAGCCAGTTCTGTGGCTGGGACTTTCCCAGGCAGACAAGTCTGTCTCTTCCTCCCCAGCGGGTGCAGCCCAGAACTGTCTTCTGAGGAAGAGGTGCTCTCCTGGGCCCCCACTGTCCCCAAGCCTCAGGTAAGCCCATCAGGGTCACAAGGAAGGGGATCTGGGTTTGAGGCCAACCATGGCAACTGACTTACTTTCTAGCCTCAGTTTCCCCTAGGGTGTGCAGCTCTCACACTGTTTGGGTGACAGCCAGCCCTCTGGGCTTGGACATTCTTTCAGTGAGTCTTGAGGGTGGAGGGATGGGAAACGGAAGCCCAGGGCCTCAGTAGGGTGTCTTCCTCCGAGCTGGGGACATCTGTCTGTGGGAGGCTGGGCCCAACCTCCCTTGCTAACCTGCCCTGGGAGGAAGTGACAGGGCCCAGCACTGCCTACTCCCCTCCCCATGCTTTCTGGCAGTCTGAGCCTGGCTGGGTGTCCCCTGCTCCTCCAGGAGCCTACTTGGGCCTTTGGGTAGACAGATTAACAGACAGGGGAGGCTGGGTCATGGTTGGGCCACCCCAGGACCCTGATGGAGGGGCTCAGCTCATGACCCTGAGCCTGGGAGAGATGAGGCCATGCCTTTCAGGGCACTCAGCATGACCCGGCCCAGTGGACGGGACTGGGTAGCTTCCTTGGTGCAGGGGGTTGTCATGCAAGGATGGGGGCACCGACCAGGCCAGGCCCCCGCCCCATGACATGTGGTGGAAATGTCCGTTTGTTTTGTTTTGTTTTTTGCTTTTTATTTTTTGAGATGGAGTTTCACTGTTGTTGCCCAGGCTGGAGTGCAGTGGTGCAATCTTGCCTCACTACAACTTTCGCCCCCCAGGTTCAAGCAATTCTCCTGCCTCAGCTCCCGAATAGCTGGTATTACAGGCACCTGCCACCATACCCAGCTAATTTTTTGTATTTTTAGTGGAGACGGAGGTTTCACCATGTTGGCCAGGCTGGTCTCAAACTCTTCACCTCAGGTGATCCACCTGCTTCTGCCTCCCAAAGTGCTGGAATTATAGGCACGAGCCCCTGCATCTGGCCATGTGATAGGAACGTTCTGTGTCTATAATGGATACTGCACTTTGCTGGTCCAGCTCCTGAGTCTCCTTGGATCTCTAGGAATCGGTGTTTCTATCAGGAACCCTTAACCCTGTCCCAGACTCCCTGCTGGGACCCAGGGTGTTGGAGTGACAAGAGGGCTGTCAGGCCTGGTGAAGGGTGTGAGCTGTCCCATAGGGCAGGGAGGAGGCAGGACCTGTTCTGTAGCTGGACAGACAGAGCCCTCTAGCTGCTTTCTGGAAGACTGAAGGGCAGGTGATGTTAGAGGGAGGGAGTGCAGGCAGGGGCTCTGAGGGAGTTCAGGTCAGAAACAAGTGGCACCTGGATTCAGGCTGTGGTGGTCACGGTGGGGATGAGGGGCTGCTTCAGATTCTGCTGGGGATGTGGGGTGGTGCGCTGCTGCTTGACTACTCCCAGTCCCCTCTGCTCTTGGTGTCTGCATCCAGGGCTGGGAGGCGGTCAAATGTTTCACACTATTGGCCCCAGGCCTGCCAAGCCTGGGGAGGTGGCCAACCTTCCACGATGGCATTTGGATGTTCCCTGTATGTGGGGAGGGCACAGGGGCTCCATTCCTAGACCACCTCAGGGACAGTGTGTCTGGCTCTGAGGTCAGATGCTCTGCCCTGGGACAGGCTGGAGTGGAGGGGAACCCAGCTTGGGGCTCATTGGAGGGGCTTGCTGGCAGACACTGCACTTTGTGGGAAACTGAGTGTGGGAGGGGGAACCCCCTACCTCTGTCACCACATCCCTCTTCGCTGTTGGGGTCATACCTGTCACCTACTGCCATAGCCATGAGACTTCCCAAGGGTCACTGCTGCACCTCACTGCACAGCCCGGAAGGGAGTCCACAGGGGACATACAGTGAGCAAGAGACCTGTGCCACTCAGGCCTCCTGGGGGTGTCCCCAGTGCAGCCATGATAATAATCACAGCCACCGTTCACCAAGCCCTTCCCACAGTCTAACCTACTCTATTCACAACACTCTCAGCAGCAAGGCAAGTGAGGTGCTGCCGTCATCCAGACTGGACAGTTCATTGATTTGCCTGAGGCCCCACGGCAGGTGAGTGGCAAGTCCAGCCTCACAGCAGGGCAGGCTAGCTATGCTCCCTGAGCCCCCTTTGCCATGCTTACCACATGCACATCCTGGGCTTGTGCAGGAATGCCCTGTCTCCTCCGTGCCCTGCTCTGTGCAAAACCCTCTTTGAGCTGTGCCTGGGAGATATGCTGAGAGAATTCATGGAAACAAATGTGTTACTGACAGCCTCTTTGCCTCCAGAGTTCAACTGGAGACCAGAGAAATCAGCTAGAGGCAGAGGGAGGTCACACGGAGTCCCCCAGAAAGGACTGGGCTACGCGCGCTTCAGGTAACCTTCTTGACCTTTAGGAGAATGAGAAGGCTGCCTGACCAGAGAGTCTCTGAAGAAGATTCTGTGGCTACATGCTCCTGCAGAGTGTGAGGGAGACCCTGGTTATTTCCTCAGCTCTTTCCACCAAATCCTCCCATCTTTCGTGGCCAACACCCCAGGCAAGGCTTGCTGCCCCCGTCTGCTGCTGGACAGTAAGTCCTGGCTCCGTGGCAGTGAATCTGTGGGGTACTCTGATTGTGGGCACTATGGAAGCTAAACCCCATGCTCCAGTTGGGGTGGAGGGTCCTCAGGGGACTCCTGGACAGTGCCAGACTCTGGGCTGAGGTGGGGGACACAAGAGAAACCAGGCCAGGCCCGTTCCTACCAGAGCTTCTCCCTAAGCAGTGGAGGCTCAGCCACTGTGAGAAGGTAGGCAAGGCCCTGCAGAAAGAGGGGTGTGGAAATATGGGGGCTCCCAGGAAGGGCCCCTGCTGGAGATGGGGTTCTTACCAGGATGGACTCTGAAGATAAGCAGGGAGGATTTGGGAGGGCAGAGATGAGGCCCAGAGCTTCTGACAGAGGGCATGGCCTGGGCAAAGGTCTAAGGGCCGGACAGCCTGCACGAGTTCTGGGAAGTGGGAAGGAGACACTGGGCCTGTGTTTCTGAGGCCTGACTTTTGACTGTGCCCTGTTGGGGGAGGGACCAGGGAATGTCTGAGGCTGGACCTGACCCTGCTCCTTACCCTGTGAGTGCAGCAGAGCCATGAAGAAGAGGTTAGTGGTGCTGGGCCTGCTGGCCGTGGTCCTGGTGCTGGTCATTGTTGGCCTCTGTCTCTGGCTGCCCTCGGCCTCCAAGGAACCTGACAACCATGTGTACGCCAGGGCTGCCGTGGCTGCAGATGCCAAGCAGTGCTCGGAGATTGGGAGGTGAGTGGGGCAGGGCATGGGGGCATGGGCCATGAAAACTGGGCAAGTGGACCTGAGCAATACCTTCACCCCTGTGAGACTTAGTTTCCCCACATGTAAGCTTTGCTTGGACTCTCTCAGTAGCCTCTGGGAAGGGGACGTGACTCCGAGAGCAGGGTTTGGGTGTCCTAGAGCCAAACAGTGCCCCTTTTCTCAGTTCTAAGAGTCTCTTTCTCTTTGGATAAACTCCACTGTTTTATTATTTGGTTGTTATTTTTACTTATTTCTTCATATATCGATTTATTTAGAGATGGAGTCTCGCTCTGTCACCAGGCTGGAGTGTAGCAGTGCAATCTCAGTTAACTGCAACCTCTGCCTCCCAAGTTCAAGTGATTCTCATGTCTAAGCCTCCCAAGTAGCTGGGATTACAGGCATGTGCCACCACACCTAGCTAATTTGTGTGTGTGTGTGTGTGTGTGTGTGTTTCTTTTTCTGAGACAGAGTCTCACTCTGTCACCCAGGCTGGAGGGCAGTGGTGCGATCTCGGCTTACTGCAACCTCCACCTCCCGGGTTCAAGTGATTCTCCTGCCTCAGCCTCCACAGTAGCTGGGACTACAGGCTTGTGCCACCATGCCCGGCTAATTTTTGTACTTTTAGTAGAGACAGGATTTCACTATGTTGGCCAGGCTGGTCTTGAACTACTGACCTCATGATCCACCTGCCTCTGCCTCTCAAAGTGCTGGGATTACAGGCATGAGCCACCACACCTGGCCTAATTATGGTGTTTTTAGTAGAGACAGGGTTTCACCATGTTGGTCAGGCTGGTCTCGAACTCCTGACCTCAGGTGATCCACCCACTTGGGCCTCCCAAAGTGTTGGGATTACAGGTGTGAGCCACCATGCCTGGCTTATTTTTTTTTTAAGGTGGAGTCTTACTCTGTCACCCAGGCTGGAGTGTAGGGGAGCGATCATTGCCCACTGCAGTTCAAACTCTTGGGTTTAAGTGATCCCCCTGCCTCAGATTCCTAAAGTACTGGGATTATAGCTGTGAGCCATGGTGCCTGGCCTCTACTGTTTTATTCTATTTTAGACTGCTATCTCATGTTATATACAAAGACTTAAACAGAAAATATCTTATGTTTTTGATATTTTGAGATAGGATCTTGTTCTGTCACCCAGACTGGAGTGCAGCGGCATGATCATAGCTCACTGCAGCCTTGAGCTCTTGGGCTTAAGCCATCTTTCCACCTCAGCCTCCTGAGTCACTAGGACTACAGGTGTGCATCACACCTGACTAATTAAAAAAGACTGTTTTGTAGAGATGAGGTCTAACTATATTGCCCAGGCTGGTCTTGAACTCCTGGCCTCAAGTGATCCTCCACCTTGGCCTCCCAAAGTGTTGAGATTATAGGTGTAAGCCACCATCTCTAGCCGGAAAAAAAAAAAAAAAGTTATTAATAAAATATAGCAATTTCCCTTTTTGTCCCAATTATAAAAGTCATGTACATTTGTTTGCTTGAAAAAGAGGAAACTATCTGGGCGAGGTGGTTCACACCTGTAATCCCAGCATTTTGGGAGGCTCAGGCAGACCACCCAAGGTCAGGAGTTCGAGACCAGCCTGGCCAACATGGTGAAACTCCGTCCCTATTAAAATTACAAAATAGTTAGCTGGGCGTGGTGGAATGCACCTGTAATCCCAGCTACGCAGGAGGCTGAGGCAGGAGAATTGCTTGAACCCAGGAGGCAGAGGTTGCAGTGAGCTAAGATCACGCCACTGCACTCCAGCCTGGGTGACTGAGTGAAACTCTATCTTAGAAAAAGAAAAAAGAAAATGAGGAAACTGTAATCCCAGCACTTTGGGAGGTTGAGGCGATAGGATTGCTTTAGACCATGAGTTCAAGACCAGCCTGGGCAACATAGAAAGACCCTATCTCTACAAAAAGACAAAAAATTGCCAGCCATGGTGGTTCTTACCTGTAGTCCCAGCTACTCAGGAGACTGAAGTGGGAGGATTACTTGAGCCCAGGAGGTCAAGGCTGCACTGAGCCATGATGATGCCACTGCACTTCATCCTAGTGACAAAGTGAGACTCTGTCTTATAAAACAAAGGCCAGGCACAGTGGCTCACACCTGTAATACCAGCACTTTGGGAGGCCAAGGTGGGTGGATTACTTGAACCCAGGAGTTCTTGACCAGCCTGGGCAACATGGCAAAATCCGATCTTTACAAAACATACAAACAAACAAAATTGGCTGGGCATGGTGGCATGTGCCTATAGTCCCAGCTACTTGGGAGGCTGAGGTGGGAGGGTCAATTGAGCCCAGGAGATTGAGGCTGCAGTGATCTGAGATCACACCACTGCACTCCAGCCTGAGCAACAAAGAGAGACTTTGTCTCAAAAAAAAAAAAAAAAAAAGACAACAAGGTGGGCGGATCATGAGCTCAAGAGATGGAGACCATCCTGGCCAACATAGTGAAACCCCATCTCTCCTCAAATATAAAAATTAGCCAGTCGTGGTGGCGTGTGCCTGTAGTCCCAGCTACTCGGGAGGCTGAGGCAGGAGAATGGCTTGAACCCAGGAGGCAGAGGTTGCAGTGAGCTGAGATAGTGCCACTGCACTCAGGCCTGGCAACAGAGCAAGATTCTGCCTCAAAAACAAAAAAGAAAAAGAAAAAGAAAAAGAAAGAAACTAAAAACAAAAACCCCAAAACTCGAATGGACTTCTCTTCCATCCTCCGTTAGGCAGGTGGGCAGCAGGGTGTGTATGCAGGGCCAAGATGGAAGCCTGCAGGTTCTCACGTCTTTATGTGCCACATGGCAGGGATGCACTGCGGGACGGTGGCTCTGCGGTGGATGCAGCCATTGCAGCCCTGTTGTGTATGGGGCTCATGAATGCCCACAGCATGGGCATCGGGGGTGGCCTGTTCCTCACCATCTACAACAGCACCACTCGTGAGTGCCTTGGGAGAGGCGAGGGAGAGGGGCAGGGGGTGTGGGTTGGGCCGCGGCACAGCTGGGTGGTCCCCGGGCTCACGCAGCATAAAGGGTTTGGGTGGGTCTGCCTGCCTACCTGCTTCTCCTTCTAGGAAAAGCTGAGGTCATCAACGCCCGCGAGGTGGCCCCCAGGCTGGCCTTTGCCAGCATGTTCAACAGCTCACAGCAGTCCCAGAATGGTAAGCTGTCCTGCAAGCTTGGGGCGTGGGTGCAGAGCCAGCTGGGCCACTGGGAAGGGGCCTTGCCCACAGGATCCTGGAACTGTCAGGGTCCAGGGGCAGTTCTAGCACCTCCATCCCTTCCTGGCCCCATAGCATCCTCCCACAATGAGTGGTCAGGACCATCATCACCAGGGTAAAGGGCTGGGAGCTTCTGTTATTTCTGCTAAGGCCTCCGGGGCCACCCTGTGCAGCACACGGAGAGAATAATTATTACACTAGCAGCCCTCATGGACCAGGGCTCACTGGGGCCCACGCTCTGCTCTGTGCTTTTCATCCATGAGTCCCTCACACCCCTCCCTGCTCCTTTGGGGTAGGGGATGCTATGTGGGTTCCCATTTTACAGGGTGGGGATGCTGAGGCCCAGAGAGGTCATGCAAATCAGCTGAAGTCACATAGCTGGGAGGTGGTGAAGTTAAAATTGAACCCAAGCTGTCTATACCCTGCCTTTTCAACAGGCATCCCATTCACTCATTTGTTCATTTGTGGGGATGGCGCTCTAGAGTGTGAGATGGCGTCTCTCTTTTCCAATCTGGTCTTCAGTGGAGAGGAGGCCCCCAAATTCCCCAGGTACCTGAGGGGAAGCTACTGTCCATCCAGGAAGCCACTGTCCATCCTCAAAGGAGGCACAATAGATTATGAGATTAAAAATTGGAAGATTGGGTGGGTCTCAACAGCTCACGCCTATAATCCTAGTACTGTAAGCCCCAAGTCAAGATGATCGAGCCCAAGGAGTTTGATTGACCAGCCGGGCCTTATGTAGTCAAGATATCTCCGCCTCTACAAAAAATATGAAAAAAAAAAAAATTGCGATGTGTGGTGTATGTGTGCTATGGTCCAGTACTCGGAGGCTAAAGTGGACGGATCATCTTAGCCCATGTTGAGGCTGCAGTGAGCCATGATGTACCACGCACTCTATTTAGTCAACAAGAGACCTGTCAAAAAAAAAAAAAAAAAATGCTGATGGTGGCTCGGCTTTGTAATCCCAGCACTTTGAGGCTGAGCGGGTGGATCACCTGGTCAAGGAAGTTCAAACCTCCTGGCCCCAACATAGTGAAACCCTTCTCTACTAAAAGCATAATAATTAGCTGGCATGGTCATGCCTGCACCAGTACTCAGGGTCTAAGGCAGAGATCCTTGAACTCAGAGGGTGGAGTTACAGTGAGCGGATCATCCACTGTACTCCAGGCGGCTGGCAAGCAAGAGCAAAGCTCAGGTCTCAAAAAAAAAAACAAAAAAAGTTGGGAAGGAATGGAGGAGCAGGGGCACACTCACCATAGCAAGTCCTTAGACTCAGGTGAGGATCCATGGGTGGTGCCCTTTGGAGGTTTGCTCAGACGATACTCAATCTTTTTGATTTTTTTTTTTTTTTGAGATGGAGTCCACTCCTGTTGCCCGACTAGAGTGCAGTGGTGCAATCTTGGTCACTGTAAGCGCTCCCGCTCCCAATTTCAAGTGATCTCCTTTGCCTCAGCCTCCCCAAGTAGCTGGATTACAGGTTTACGGCACCCATTGGCCCGAGCATTTTCTCATTTTTAGTAGAGGAGGGGTTCACTATGTTGCCAGGTTGGTCTCTAACTCCTTGACCTCATGAGTGCCCCCCTCGGCGCTTCACAAGTGCTGGATTAGCAGTGTGAGCTACTGCACGACGCAATCTCATTTTTTTATACTCATGGAGATCAGTTCTGTAAGCATGGAATGTTGCTCAGGGTAAGGAATGCGGAACTCATAGGCTTGGTACCTTGTGGCCGCTTGGATCATTTTTTCTTCTTTTTTTTTTTTTTGAGGACGGAGCTGCCCGGCCCAGGCTGGAGTGGCGTGGCGGATCTCGCTCACTGCAAGCTCTGCTCCCGGGTTTAGCCTTCTCTGCCCAGCCTCCAAGTAGCTGGACTTACAGGCGCCTGCCACCACACCCGGCTAGTTTTTGTATTTTGTAATCCAAGAGCAAGGTTACCAGGGTTAGCCACGATGGTCTCGATCTCCTGACCTCGTGATCCGCCCGTCTCGGCCTCCCAAAGTGCTGGGATTACAGGCTTGAGCCACCGCGCCCGGCCTGAAATCATTTCTTTAACTAGAATGTATTGAGCATCTCTTAAAGAATCAGGTGTTGTTCCTGAAACTGGGGTGAAAAACAAAGATGGCAGATGAAATCTGTGACATTCCAGGTGGGAAGGAGAAACTAGGCAGGTGTGGGTGTGCTATGGAAAAACAGACCTGGGGGGCCTCAAAATCTGGGATTCTATGGAGGGTGACCTAGTCAGGGAGGGGATATTTGAGCAAAGACCCAGAGGCAGAGGTGGGGTCAGGGGAGCTGTGTGGTGTCTGGGGGAAGACCAAGTGATCCAGGTGTGATGGGCAGGGACAGAGCCCTGTGGGGAGCCGGGGAGGCTGCAGCAAGTGACCCGAGGGGAATGGCCCAGGTTGTGTGGGATCTCTTAGGTCATGGTGAAGCCTCTGCCTCTTGTCTCAAGGAAGTGGAGGCCCATGGAGTGTGTGAGTGGAGGGGGATGTATCTGACCTGTGGACCCCTTGGGTTGCTGTGTAAGGGACAGGGAGTATGTGGGGACCTGTCCGGAGGTCACTGCAGTAATTCATGGAGAGGGTGGTGGGAAGTGGCTGACGCTGGACAGACACACTTGGAAGTGGAGCCTGTGGATTTGAGGATGGGTTGGGTGTGATGCTGGTGTAGGGAGTCCCCAAGGACCCTAGATCCTTTGTCTGTACCTGGAAGGATGGGGTGACCCTAACGGAGACAGGCAGGGCTCTCAGGAAGCAGGTCTGAGTGGACACTCAGGAGCTCGGTTTTGGGCACGTTTAAGTTTGAGATGCTTTCTTCAAGCAGGCAGGTAGATACTCAGGTCTGGCGATTTGAGGAGCAGTCCAGGCCAGCAGGTCAATTTGGGAGTTGTCAGTGCTTAAATGGAGGCTGAAGCTCAGATGTCAGGCAGACCACCAGGAGAGAGAGCAAAGACAGAGGGCAGAGCAGAAGCTAGGATGGCAGGCGGGGGACACTCGGGTGGAGCCAGGTGCTGGGATGCAGGGGTGGCTCTCAGGGAGAGTGATGAGCCTAGTAAAGCTGAGAGGGGGCACTGGGTCTGGCAGTGTGGGGGTCGCTGGAGAGCTTGGCAAGTGTGGTGGCATGACAGCCTGATTGGAGTGAGGTCAGGAGATTTTTTTCTGATATTGATACATGATATTTTCTATACATATGGGTACATGTGAGTGCTTGTTACATGCATAGTGTATGATGATCAAGGCAGGGTATTTGGGGTCTCCGTCACCTTGAGTATTTTTCATTCCTGTTTGTTAGCACCATAGTCTTCTCTTCCAATTACTTTGAAATATACAAAATACTGTTGCTAAGCATTGTCACCCTGCTCTGCTGTCAAACATTAGAACTGCTGTCTTGACTGGGCCTGCGGTGCGGTGGCTCATGCCTGTCATCCCAACACCTTGGAAAGCTGAGGTGGGTGGATTACCTGAGGTCAGGAGTTTGAAACCAGCCTTGCCAACATGGCGAAACCCCATCTCTACTAAAAATACAAAAATTAGCCCGGCGTGCTGGCATGTGCCTGTAATCCCAGCTACTTGGGAGGCTGAGGCAGGAGAGTTACTTGAACCCAGGAAAAAAAAAAAAAGAAAGAAAAAAAAAAAGAAGTTCTGTCTAACTGCAAGGGGGAAGGAATCATATGCTGGGTGTCAGACCTTCCAGGATGTATGTGCAGCTTCTAAGCATTGAAACCACTGGCTCTTGGAAACTTGTGCCAGGCTTCAGGGTGGGAGAGGCAGTTCTAGAGCCACAGCCACCAAGCCTGGGAGTAGCCAAATGGCCCCCGTCATCTCTGGCGAGAGCAGGAAAATACCTGGGCGCAGAGGCCACGGTTGTATCTTTCTGGGCAAAGAGTCATTGTCTATAGTGTACATATGGTCAGTGAGGCTCGGGGGGGAAGCAGGCCCAGGGGTCTGTTTCCAGTGACCTCCTCGAAAGTCAGAACTGGAAGGCAAAACCCCTTATAGGCTGGGTGCACCTGTATCCCAGTATGTCGGGAGGCTGAGGTGGGAGGATCACTTGAGCCTGGAAAACCAAGGCTGCAGTGAGCCGTGATTGCACCACTCCACTCCAGCTGGGGCAACAGAGTGAGACCCTGTCTCAAAACAAACAAAAAACCCTTATAGTTGGATGGGGAAACTGAGGCTGGGAGAGGGGACAGGACGGAGATTAAGGCTCAGGTCTTGCCTCTGGAGCAGTTGAAAAGAGGAAGGGAGCCCTTTCTTGGGGCTGGCTGATTCTTGAGGGTGGCCTGTGCTTGACCTGGGTTGGGCAGGACCTGCTCTTGCTTTGGCACATTCTGGTGGAGCCCATGAGTGTTACAGGATAAGGGCTTGTGGTCAGTGAGATGGGAGGGGTCTGGCCTGGCACAGGATTTTAGACACGCAGGCACCTGCCCAGACACCTCATCCTGGGACAGCAAAACCCAGTTGCATGCTACTGCTTCCCCTCCTGTGCCCTCCTCAGACATCCCTGGTCCATGTACACTCCTGCCTGCCGAGCCCAGATATGACCTTAAACATCCCCTTCTGCTGGGTGTGGTGGTTCACTCCTGGAATCTCAGCTGCTTGGGAGGCTGAGGTGGGAGAATTACTTGAGTCCAGGAGTTTGAGACCAGGCTGGGAAAGATGGCAAGACCCCATCTCAAAAAAGAAAAAAAAAATATCTTTCGTCCTAAGCCTCATTGACCCATCTGTAAAATGAGTCAGGGAATGTGCCTGGGATGCTGCCTGTGAGAGATTCTGATGTCACCTACTCACGGCCACTAACTGTAGCTCTCTCTCCCCAGGGGGGCTGTCAGTGGCGGTGCCCGGAGAGATCCGAGGCTATGAGCTGGCGCACCAGCGGCATGGGCGGCTGCCCTGGGCTCGCCTCTTCCAGCCCAGCATCCAGCTGGCCCGCCAGGGCTTCCCCGTGGGCAAGGGCTTGGGGGCAGCCCTGGAAAACAAGCGGACCGTCATCGAGCAGCAGCCTGTCTTGTGGTATGTCTGTGGGTGCGGCCCCCTGATACAGGCAGTGCAGGCACAGCCCAAGGACCCTGCAGGCCCCTAGCAGCAGTGGAGCGGCCCTCTGCCTTCAGGACCCCGCACTGATAATGGGCTGAGGAGATGCAGACCCTTCCCACCACATGTGGGGACACATTCTGAGGTGGGGTCCCAGTGGCCACTGTGGCTGGCCATGTGTCCTGAGTGGCAAGGGACACTAGGAGGCTCCCGGAAGGGACAATGGGAGGACGAGCGCTGAGTGACAGGGCCACCCACCTGTGACAGGTGCTGCCCCTGCTCTGCTCCATTCCCCTGTGTGGGCAGGGGTAGGGGATGGTCTAGCTGAGTCCATCCCACCTGCTTCCTCACGTGAGCCCCCTCTGCCCCAGTGAGGTGTTCTGCCGGGATGGAAAGGTGCTTCGGGAGGGGGAGAGACTGACCCTGCCGTGGCTGGCTGACACCTACGAGACGCTGGCCAGGGAGGGTGCCCAGGCCTTCTACAACGGCAGCCTCACGGCCCAGATTGTGAAGGACATCCAGGCAGCTGGTGAGTGGATAACCTCAGGGGCCTGGGTGAGGAACCCTGCAGTGGAAACCCTGAGCCGTGGCCCAGAGCCCTGGGGTCTTCCTGTCCTGCCTGAGCCTGCAGGAAGTTCCTGGTGGAGGAGGGTCAGTGGCCGGCCATGTGGGTTCACAGCTCCTGGGTATGTCAAAACCAAAAGAGGCCTTGCGGTCCAGGAGAGCAAGTCCCTGGTGGGGTAAATGCAGGTGTAGGCAAGAGCCAGGGCTAGGGAAGCACTAGAATACAGCCTGAAGATCCAGGAGGACTTGGAGGAGGTGGTGGCTGGGCTGCAGATAACTTTGTTAGGCAGGGAGAGGAAGGGATTCCTGGCAGAGGAGCAGCTGGGCTAAGGCCCAGGGAGAGGGGGCTTTGATTCACCAAGAGGGTTACAAGGGATGAGGGTCACCTTGAGAGAGGCGTGGGGAAGGGGCTTTGTGGGGCAGGGGCCTGGAGCTTGGCTGTGGCTTTCTTCAGGTAATTTTTGTCACTGTTTCATGGAGAAGGATGACTAGTGTGTCGACCTTTACCACTGAGGCTGGAAATTAGCATGCCAATACCCTGTCTGGAGCTGACTCCAGGAGAATTAAGAGCCTCCCTCCCTCCCTCTATCCATTCATCATGAGGAGAAGAGGCCAAGCAGCAGGGACACCGGCAGGAATTCTCCACTTAGAAAAGGCCCTCTGAGCTGGGCGCAGTGGCTCACGTCTGTAATCCCAGCACTTTGGGAGGCCGAGGCAGGTGGATCACCTGACGTCAGGAGTTCAAGACCAGTCTGGCCAACATGGTGAAACCCTGTCTCTACTAAAAATACAAAATTAGTCGGGCATGGTGGGTTGTGCCTATAATCCCAGCTACTTGGGAGGCCACGGCAGGAGAATTGCTAGAACCCGGGAGGCTGAGGTTGCAGTGAGCCAAGATTGTACCACTGCACTCCACAGATACTCCGTCTCAAAAAAAAAAAAGAAAGAAAGAAAAGGCCCTCTGAGGCCAAGCTTGGTGTCTCACACCTGTAATCCCAACACTTTGGGAGGCTGAGGTAGAAGTTGAGGCCAGAAGTCCATGACAAGCCTGGGCAACATAGTGAGACTACAAAAAACATATTGAGACTCTACATAAATATAGTGGGAGTGAGGGTGGGGAACAAGAAAACATAAAAAATTCAAAGCATACTGAAAAGTAATACAGCAAGACCCTACAAAAAAATTAAAATTTGCTGAGTGTGGTGGTGCCACCTTTAGCCTCAGCTACTGGGGAGGATCTGCTGGAGGATCACTTGAGCCCAGGAGTTCAAGGCTGTGATTAAGCCACTGCACTCCAGCCTGGGTGACAGAGCAAGATCCTATCTCTAAAAAAGAGAAAAGAAAACACTGTTTGGCCACAGAGGAGAGAAGGCAGACAGGAAGCCACTAAGCCAAGCAGGCAGAGGGCAGGTGGCCCCAGCCCAGCTGTAGGGTGGTGAGCAGTGTCAAGGAGACAGGAGTTCAAGAGCGAGTGAGGTTCCCAAGGGGGCGAGGTTGCCTGTGGCCCCCTCCCAGGGCACAGTCCCACCCTCCAGTAGTGCACTCTGTCCTCCCTGGTAGGTTCAGGCTTTTCCCCACCACTATGGTGCAGCCATGCCTGCCCCCAACACCACTGGTGCAGCTCCATCCTCCACACAAGGGTGCAGCCCCTTCCCAGCGCCCATTCGAGCTGCTGTCCCGTTGCAGGGGGCATTGTGACAGCCGAGGACCTGAACAACTACCGCGCTGAGCTGATTGAGCACCCGCTGAACATCAGCCTAGGAGATGCGGTGCTGTACATGCCCAGCGCGCCGCTCAGCGGGCCCGTGCTGGCCCTCATCCTCAACATCCTTAAAGGTGAGTGGTCGCACCACAGCCCTGTGGTAGGACCCATGACACGCCCCACCCCTGCTGCAGCTCTGCTGGCCCCCATGCCACGTCTTTGCATCACTGAGCTCCCAGGGAGTGCTCCTGTGTCACAGCTCACCATGTCCTGAAGGAGGCAGTGCAGAGCCACAGGGCTGAAGTGGGCAATGCTCAAGGGTTGGAGGAGGAACAGGAGTCATCAGGACGGAGAGAGGTACAGGAGCTCAGGGCTGCAGGGCTTGGTCCAGAGGGCATCCCTGGTCCAGTGGGTGGCCCCGCCACTTGGTCATTGCGTGGCCAGAGCTGACGCGTGACGTGAGATC